AGATTATTTAATATTTCAAATAAATCCAAGTGTGAACAAACCTTCGGTCATATTCACCAACGAGATCAATGCACTTCGCATCAGTGATGTCCACTTCGGTAGAGTACTGTCGGTAGGCGGTTGAGAGGCAAGCGTTCGTAAAGCCTATTTTCGTAACAATAATTTGTGATACACGATCAAGACGTGAATCGATCAAATTTTAGCAAAAAAATCTTAGTTATTAATAAGAAACCTGATGAAATCTATTCAAATTCATAGTATTTCGTTGCTACTGATGAAAAACAATGCGTTGTTTTGATTTGGATTCTTGATTCGAAGAAAGAAAACCAGTCAAACTCACTTGCATCGCGGCGGCTGCAGCAACAGAAACATGACCTGGTGGCGCATCGGGCACAAGCTGCTCCTGAACATAATAGAGAGTAGATTATAAATTCCAGTAAGTTTCCAAAAACTTAACTTCTACAACTTCAAAATTTCAATGCGTTGTTTAGTGGCAAATTTCCCGCATGTAAGCAATTTTGAGAACTCAAACATTAAAATTAAATATTAAAAAAATTAAATTAAAATTTTATATTAAATTTGATTTTCAATACTCCTCTTCAACTGAAACGAACGTGAATTCTTGAAGCAAAACGAACTCGTCGAAACTGACCTGATCTATTGAGGACGATTCACGAAGAATACCAACAATCAAATACAAAATACTCGGCAGAACGATCAACGTGCCGGCCGATGAACACAGCGACGGGATTTGGGTGAGTATCGATATGCCGAGCTGAATAAATCAACAAATGATAAATTCAAATTATGCACAATGATTCAGATCGAAAATTACGATCCAAAAAACAGAAAACATTTAAAAAATTGTACACAATGAAATTCAAAAAAAAACTGCAAGCAACAAAAAGAATTTTAAAAAATGAAAATTAAACTCAAAACACAAGTACCTTAATTAAAGTGTTCGATTCGGCTGGCAATCGACAATATTTACGATAATGCAGTGGTGCCAACGATTTGCTCTTCATCAGAGCCGAATTGATTTGTGGCAACTGAAAAATGAGTGCCTTAAAATCTCCCAAAAATGGCTCTAATTGATAAAGCTGAAACAAATTAATGACTAAATGAATGAATAATTGACATAAAAACAAAGCAATAAAGAGATCAATACCGATACAACAGCCATATGAACATAAAATAGAGATAAGTGACCATACCTGTCGTACCAGTAGACACAGCGAAACCTCCAACGACGCAAACGCCAGCGATTTATTCGGTTGTAAACCATCCTCGGTGCCTTCTTCACCTCGATACGTCTCCATTAATTCTCCGTCAGCATTACCGTTCTCCACATCTGAATTCGCAAACAATCGTTCAGCATTCCACTTCACAATAAAATCTTTCAGCAATGCATATTCCAACTGACAATCAGAATAACAAAAATTTGCAAGTAATGGCAAATAATGTTTGCAAGATCGACATTCAAGCGATCGCCTACCTTTATTCTTATGGAGATTGATCGAGAAATGCGCCGCATTCAGCACACACTGAACAACTTCAGCACAAATATGCTGCGTTCGAAGATTATCTCTCGTTAAGATCAGTCTAAAATTGCGATTTGTTGCGAT